AAAGTTGTCACATCCAGCACTCACCCCACCGCCGTCCCTTCAACATCCGCTCGTACCCATATGCTCCCTCGCTTAGTCAATGGCATCTGCACCCATTTCTCAGTCAGCCAGGAGTCATAGCGTCGACCCAACCTGTCAAACCTCCATCACCAGACTGTCTCTTCTTTAAACTATCTGAGGATATTGGGATGCCTCCTGGCTCCCTGGACTAGCCACAAAGATCTCTTACTTCAACCGAGTCTCCCAGCTTCTGGTTCCCCTCTGGCCAACCATCACAAGGCAAATCTCCTCATTACAGTTCTAGTGACCGTTCAAAGTCTATATCTCCTCATTTTGTCCCCTGCTTCAAGTTAAGAAAGGATGCCCCTTTCTCCACGAATATCAAACTTTTATGTGGGTTACGATGTTTGTGGCCTGACGACAGATTATCTCTCTTGGCCTGGCTTTAACCACCTACCCCCACCAGGAGCTGTAGGTCATCTCCAAGCTGACTGCTTTTCATATCTAAGCAAGATCCGTTTGTCTGAATTTCAATGTGATGTTTTGTCTGTTGGGAATCCTTGCTTCCTTCCTTCCCTTTCTCCCTCCCTCCCTTCCTTCCTTCCTGCTTGCTTTCTTTATTTCTTGTTGGCCTGGCTAATACTCATTTGGCCAATATTTTGTTAGTTAATTGTAGCATTCCTGTGGTACTAAGGGCAGAGTCGTGAACAAAATTAAAAAGTGCCTGTCCACCAACATCAGGACCATTTTAATCACGTCCTGAGTCATTTGTCACGGATGGCATCCAATTAGAGCTTATTTGTAGATCTGGGGGACATTTTTCACTCCACCTTCCCTAGGGAGACATACTGAGCGGCTCACCACACTAACTGAAAAGCTGAATGATGAGGCCTTGTAGAAACAATACTCAAGAAAATGCTAGGATCAAGCAGTAATCAGCCATTGGAAATGAACCTGGGAAGCTTGGATTGATGCCGCCTGGTGCTAAATTGTTGTGACTCAGCTCTAACTACCTCCCTAAAATGAGGAAATGATAGAGGGTGACTTCTATGATTCTCATGGCTAAGATTCAAATATTTTAGTAAAGCAGTAGAAACTAAGCTTTGCACATCAGCTATGCAAGACGAATAGGTTATAGAGGACTAGTGTAGAGAATGGTATGTAATTAGTAAGATTTCCTTTCTTTCTTTCTCTCTCTCTCTTTCTTTCTTTCTTTCTTTCTTTCTTTCTTTCTTTCAAGATTTTCTTGTATAAAAATTTGCTAAGAGGGCTTATTTCATGTATCCTTATAAAAGGGGGAGATACAAGTTATGGAAGGCATCAGGTTGACTTATGATATGATTATGTGTCCTATGGTTGAATATCTGCACCTGCCTGCTGAAATTGTGTCTAGCAACTGGAGGTATCCAAGGTGGTTCAGTGGTCAGAGTGGAGATGATGATGATTTGGATTATGGTAACAATAGAGATGGAGAAAATATTTGGGTTCAGGATATCTTGGTGGCAGAAGACTAGTGTTATTTAGAGAATAAAGTCATTATCAGATGGAGATAGTGCTGGAGAGAGAGCTCAGTGGTAAAGTGTTTACATTTTTAGCAAGAGGGCCTGAGTTTAATCACCAGAAGAGCATTTAAAAAGACAGGTTTAGTGGCATGCACTCATATGAGAGGAGAGGCACTGGCAGAAGCCTTGAGAAGGGAGGCCAGAAAGGTAAATGGGAAGAAAATCAAATTTTTCACCATTGTCACAGAAGCAATAACAGATCTCCTGTTTAGGCATCTGGCCAGTCTTCAAGTTCATAACCGGCTTTCATCATCCTGCAGTTTTTAAGATTTTATTTTTATTAGTGTGAGTATGTGCAGATGTGTGTGCGTCACACGTGTATGTAGGCACTCACAGTGGCTAGAAGAGGATATTGGATTCCTTGGAGCTAAAGTCACAGGCAGATTTGAACCACACAACATGGGTGCTGGGAGTTGAACCCGGGTCCTCTGCAAGAACAGCACTGGCTCTTAACCATTCTTAACCACTGAGACATCTCTCCAGCCCCCTCCCCATACCTGGTCTCTCTCTCTCTCTCTCTCTCTCTCTCTCTCTCTCTCTCTCTCTCTCTCTCTCTCTCTCCCTCTGCCCCCCTCTCTCTGATGGGGTTTACTAGGTAGTCATTGCTGGCCTGGCCTCAAACTCATAGATATCCACCTGCCTCTGCCTCCCAACACCTGGTCTTTTTATGTAAGCGCACAGCAAGTATTTACCAAGTGGGCTATCTCCCAAGCCTCCCTGTGTGTATTTGGACATGCCTGATTTAATCTATCACTATTAAAAGCTTCATAGATAAATAAACCAAACCTTATGGTATATGTGACATTGTTAACAACCCAAACTGTGTTTTGTTCCTGCTCTCCACCATGCTTATTTTCTTGCCCAGAGTAAAACCTGTACAGATAATCGTGTCCTCCCAGGCTTGTTAGGAAGTCCTGCATACTGTGAGCTAGCTCATGCCGTATGCTCTCCACTGCACACTGCCCCAAGTCTGTACCCTGGTTAGACTTTCTCAATAGAGCATTAGAACTCCATGGATGCTACATGGTCTTACAATCCCAGCACTACATTACAATAATAGTAATTATTATTACTATTAATTATTGTTATATTTAATTTATTTTTTGGGTCTGAGTGTTTTGCCTGCGTTTATGTAATTGCATCACGTGTGTGTGTGTGTGTGTGTGTGTGTGTGTGTGTGTGTGTGTGTGTCTGGTGTCCATGGTGGAAATAAATTCGATTCCCTGAAACTGGAGTTACAGATGGTTGTGAGTCACCATCCAGGTGCTGGGAATCGAACCTGATCAACAAATGCTCTAAAGTGCTGAGTCATCTGTCCAGTCCCTCTCTAGCACCTCCGTTTCCCAGGGTTATTTAATATGACGTAGAAATTAAAATCATATATATTTAAAGTGTACAACTAGATATTTCGATAGACATGTTTATTGTAATCACTGCAATCAAGCTTCCAAACTTTCACCGCAGAAAATCAATACCTCAAAGAGATGTTTGATCTGCTGTGTTGATTTCTGTATTCTTCAATGTAATCAAAGTATATAAAAGACCAACCCGTTATCATTTCCGGCATCCCCCAGCCACTCCTGGGGTCCCACGGCCATGTATGATCTGTCAGCATTCAGGCAAAATGCTTAGTCACCCCCGGGTCTCACATCCTATGTAATCCATGTGCATGCGCAGTGTGGCCACATACTCTCTATGCATGCGTGGAGTGGCTACATAAGCCCCTCTGTGCATGCGCTAAGCTACCTGTGAAAGCAACCCCGCCTGCCCCATACTCTCTTCTCCACAACTTTTCTTTTAGATAGGCTTGCTCACTCCCCCTCCCCCTTTCCCCCCACTCTTTACCAATAAAACTCTTAAAGTGGATTTCATTGTATATTTGTGGTCTGTTCTCGGTGCAGTAAATATAACACTTATTTTATGGACACAAGACGCTTCTACATATTTATGATATACAGTGGTATGATTTATGTATACAATGTATGATGAGCAGATTAGGAAAATTAGCATTCTCGTTTATTTATAATTTCTATGTTTTAGGAAACTTCAGACTCTTCCTTCCTAGCTATTTTTATTTTTTAAGGCATAAATAAATGTAAGAGAAATTTAAAGGAAACATCCTTGGTGTTCACTCCACAGTGTGGTGGTATGGACCAGTGTGCTCAGTGTGGTATGAATCCATCTGCTTCTCCCCTGGAAAGAGATGTCTGTAAAGAACTACTGGACACCTGAAGCTGGGAAGCTGGGATAAGAGACGAGCTGGGTCCCAAGTTGAGCAGGACCCTTGCTAATCCTCTGGGAAGCACAAGAATGTTTGGCAAGCCTATCCAAAGACCGACAGAACACAGTGCTAAATAAAGCAAGCCAAGTAACGAATACTTTTGAAATGAAGACAAATGTATTTTCGGTGGATTTTATTTTCTCATTTCTCTGCAGGGGACCAAGTGGCCCAGAAGTACTCTAAGTAGAATTGTCATTAATCGTGATAATTTACCTTCTAGAAAGAAAAAAAAATAAACCAAAAACCAAAAACAACAAAACAAAACAAACAAACAAACAAAAAACCTCCCTGAAGTTCCCCATGTACAAGTTGTATTCTAAATTTCTGGTGCATTTGAAAATCATAGTCTTGTTCTTCCAAACAATGACTAACTATGCAGGGAAGGAAGGACCAGGGGCATCATGTCGGACTTGTTTGGTACTTTAATTTAGGATGTTCATCCAACTCGGGAAAAGAAAAAAAAAAAAAAAACTCCAGTGTTGTTGGATTTCCACCCCAGCATGGTTCCAGGGCAAGCTTTCCATGGAACTCTGAAAGAAAAACCAAACCAAACCAAACCAGAGGCTGCCTAGAGGAAAAGGGCGGAACTGGACAAGAATCTGGAAATCTGAAGTTATAACCAGTAGCTCTCCGTGGACAAGCAGAGACTAGCTCTCTCTATATACCCGTGTCTCCATTGATCTCTTTTTGATCCATCTGCTGCTTTCCTTCCTGCCTGCTCTGTGCACAGTGTTCTGAGTGCTCTGAGTCTGAAGAGCCAACACTGGGCAATGCCTAAGGACACACCCTGGAACCAAAGCCTTCAGTTAGGACCACGCGGCAGCCAGACTCATTTGGTTTTACAGTAGTTTGCATCATACACATTTAACTGTGTGGTGTGGATAAATGCTTCTCGGTGCTGAGTTCTGTAAAACAATAGTCATACAGACGGCTATGGCAATCTGTATTTTGACCAATCCAACTTCTCTTTCCACTTCTGCCAGAGATAGCATAACCTTTTCCCATTTCCTTTCCTTATTCCTTCCTTGTTTCTACTAATGGATTCTTCATTTGTCTTACACACACACACACACACACACACACACACACACACACACACAATGGATTTGACGTTGCCTTGAGAAATACATGAAATAAAAAAATAACAAGGGCTGTGCGTGCTTCGGCAGCACATATACCAAAACTGGAATGTTACAGAGAAGATCGGCGTGGCTCTTGAGGAAGGACGACATACGAATTTGTCAAGTGTTCCCTATTTTTTGGCCTTCTCCTGTAATCAGATTGGTGACTACCCCGATTGTCATCAGAGATCCTTCATCCAGTAACTGATGGAACAACTGATGGAAACAGATACAGAACTTCACAGCCAAGCACTGGGCTGAGCTCCCGGAACCCTGTTGAGGAGAGGAAGGAAGGATTGTATGGGGAAGGAAGGAGTATCAAGGTTGTCACAAGGGAACTCACGGAACAACTAACCTGGGCTCATAGGAGCTCACAGACTCAGGACCGACAGCTAGGGAGCCTGCATGGGACTGTACAAGGCCCTCTGCATATGTGTGACAGTTGTGTAGCTTGGTCTGTTTGTGGGACTCCAAATAGTGTAAGCAGGGCTGTCCCTAATGCTTTGGCTGGCTTTTGGGGCCCTGTTCCTCATACTGGACTGCCTCACCCAGCCTTAATACAAGGAGACGGGCCTTAGTCCTATCTCAACTTGATATGCCACGCTTTGTTGGCACCCATGGGAGGCCTGCCCCTTTCTGAACAGACAGAGGAGGGGTGGATGCAGGGGGGTCTGAGGGGGGGGGACAGAGGGGTGGTAGGGGGAGGGAATGGGAGGAGAGGAGGGAGGGGAAACGGCAGTCAGGATGTAAAGTATATGAAAAAATTTAATTAATAAAACAATAGCAAGGACTATGTGAAGAAATTGGAGTGAAAGGGAAACTGGATCGCAAGACTGAGGGACCACCAGGGCTGAGGTTAGCATCTGGCAGAAGGGGTGGCCATTCTATTTGGAAGCCAAAAGATCCCCCCACAAACCCTGTTTTGAGCTTCTCAAGGACAGAGAAAAGGCAATTAATTTTGCTTGTTCATTTTTATCAACTTACCACAACAAACTAGAGTCACCTCAGAAGGGGAAACCTTAATTGAGGAATTGCCTCCATCAGATTGGCTTACGGCCATGCCTCTAGGACATTTTGTTGATTACTGATGGATGCGGGAGTGCCCATCCCACCTGGGTAATGCCACCCCTGGGTAGGTGGTCCTGGGTTGTATTAAAAAAAGCAAGTTGAGAGAACCATAATAAGTAAGCCAATAAGCAACACTTCCCACAGTTTCATACGTCAGTTCTTGCCTTAGTTTCTGCCTGACTTCCCTCAATGATGGACTGTGACTTATAAGGAGAAACAAGCCATTTCCTCCCCAAGTTGCTTTTGGTTTGGGTTATCTCATGGAAACAGAAAACGAAACTAGTACAGTTATGATAGTGAGACATATACCAGTTGCTTAGGAGAACTAGTTCTTCACATTTTATTTAGCTGGTACCAAGCTTTTGACTTATTACTGGGTCTCCATTCTGTAATGAGTTGACTCAGGGGGATAGAGAAAGATCCATCATAGGATGATTGAGTCCGAGTTCTTGATGGAGCAGCAGTTTGTATATAATGCTTCCTTCCATACTCGAGGGTAGCTTTAACATGCCACATCCCTGATGCCTTCCCCAGACCATGGTGGCTTTGAAGGGATGGGTGAACATAGGGAAGATGATGTCCTTTATAATTCAGATCCTATGCGTTTACAAACGTCTGATGTAGGAGGTGGCGAGATGAGAGGAAATGATGCAGTTCAAGTTCCATGTGAAGGAGAACTGCATTCATGAAGCTGATTGGGGGTACTCTTGGTGTGAAAACCCATGAAAAATGTTGGAGGAACAATGTATAAGAAGAGATCCCAGGCTCTGAAGCAATCACTGAGGCCCTGGATTCCTGGTCAAGCAGAACCATGGTCCAGGAACAGCTCCATGTCTGGGTCTGGATAGGGTAAGGGAAGTGGGCTTTCACAGTTCCCGACGGACCAGTTGTTGGACCTTCCCTGAAGGGAAGCATGCTTGTGAGTGAAATGGCTTTCTTCAGTGGAGCACAATCCCATTAGGAGAAAATAGAGCTGCCAGTTGCTAATATACTTAGCAGCTGGGGTAAAAAGGATGTCACAATCCACTTCAACCCATGGCTCATTACTACACTCAGGTCTCCTTGCCTCATATACGTCCCGGGACCCACTCTCGTGGCCTCTTTTACTCAGAGGAACTTTGAAGTGGAGGTTTCATCGGATGCACCATATCCCCTCTAGGGATGTCTTGCTCTTTTAAGCATCCCCATAGCGGACTAAGGGTCAGCTCCTCTTAGTAGCTGCTGTTGTCCGAAGTTGGCCAACACCGAGCTGCCCACTGGATAATGCTGCCCTAGGAGCCATATGCTTCTTATTTTGTTTAAATAGAATGATATCTGGGTCAGAGCACTTTGGTGGGATTTTCAGCAGTACCTGATATATCCATGAATGCGTACTTCGGTAATGCTTTTGGTCTTTCCTTCCATTTTATGTTGCAATATTTCTGCATGACGTAATGTAGGCCATTGCTTCCTCTAACCTCTTAAAAACCCTCGTAGTAACTGAAATATTATCACTCTCTGGATCTTGCTAAACATTAAGCTCTGTATTACTTTCATATCTACAAGCTCTCCAATATATATTATTATGTCCCACCCATATACTAACACTCAGAATTCAATCTCATATTATTCTTCTGGTTCCTGTCAGTATATTTGGTATATCAGCAGTTTGTATATCATGTTTCTTTCCATAATCGAGGGTAGCTTTAACATGCCACATCCTTGATGTTGCTTTGCTCTTTCCTTCTTTAAATACATTAAGTCAAATTTTGTTCTAATAATAATAAAAACCATTTTAAAAGAGAAAACATTGTCGTGACTTAAACCTAGTTATTATTTCAGTGGACAGAAGAAAGGTCTGAGTAGATGCTAAGGACAGTCTGCATTATCTTGCCTGAGCAGGGTTTTTCTACTTTGTCATCTATGAGCAGGGACATGAACCTAGAAATTATTTTTATCATTTGATTTATATACGTGTGTGTATCTGTGTGAATGTATGCCACATGAGTAATTGCCTGAAGAAGCCAAAAGAGGTCATCGGATCCCCTGGAACTGGAGTTACAGGTGGTTGTCCGCTCTTTCCAGTTACAAGTCAATGACATGGGGCTGAGCGTGACTCCAAGGTTAAGAGCATTGGATGTGTCCATGCTGCTCTTCCAGAGAACACAGGCAGGAACTGGAATAGCAGCATGGACACATCCAATGCTCTTAACCTTGGAGTCACTGGCTCATGGGTGACTCAGCCCCAAATTTTATTTCAAAGCATTTTTGACAAGTTATAACACATCAGCTGTCACAGATCAAGTTCCCTGGAAAGCAGCTACACCTGATCAATCTTTGTGGGAAAGAGAAGAAATAGAGGGAGACAGACAGAGATGTCTGGCTGGGCGGTGGTGATGTATGCCTTTAATCCCAGCACTGGGGAGGCAGAGGCAGGTGGATCTCTGTGAGTTCGAGGCCAGCCTGGGCTACAGAGTGAGTTCCAGGAAAGGCACCAAAGCTACACAGAGAAACCCT